TTTTATTGTAAGCCATGTGCGTGGTGTTGCTTGAATATTCGTATTCGTATTCGTATTCGATTCGTTTTTGTTTCGTTTTTGTTGGGTTTCAGAAACCTCCATGGAAGCGGTGCGCCTTCAAGGCGATAAATGATGCTCCAAGAATATACTATATATGTATATATCTAAATATATAACTCTGATTCTGTTACTGTTACTGTTACTGTTTCTGTTTCTGTTTCTATGTTTCTATGTTTGCTGCTGCTTCTAGTATTTCTGATACTCATTCAAATCCTCACTGGAGTAAGATGGTTTTTGATTTTTGAAAATTGCATCGATTCGTAGTAAACCGCCCACTTGCATGGGATCTTCGGATCGGGAGGAGCGGAGGATGCGGATTGGCTGGACACGGGAGGACGACTCGGGATGGGGTTTCGGTTCGGATTAGGGCTCGTCGGAAACGGATTGTAGGGGATAGGTAACGGTATTGTAGTAGAGGATACGTGCGATTGTTTTAAAGCGTTTTGCGTTTTTCTTTTGCATTTTCCATTCCATGTACAAATTCCACAAAATTATTTACATTTCAATCATTGATCATCAATCAATTTGTATGGGTTTCGTTTTCATTTACATTTTTTGTTTCGTTTTGTTTTTTTGCAGAAATTTTGGTTTTTTGGTTTATGGGCACACGTGAAATGCAAACGAATCGTGTTGAAAAATATATTTATACATACATAAATATATATTTAGAGATAGTTAAATAAAATTATTTGTTAGAGATAATAAAAGCATTTCGAAGGGGTGGGGCACGAGTAAAGAACGGATATATCATATCACATATATATATATAGATATATATATATATATATATAGAATATAGATTTATCAGAGACACAGTCGGTGGGGTGTACATTCGGGGGTTTATTATAGAGGGTATTGTTGTTGTTGTTGTTATTGTTATTGTTGTAGTTGTTGTTGAGTTTTGGTTGGAGTTTTTTGTTGTTGGTTGGAGGTGTTGCGTGTTTTATTTTTTATATATATTTGTTAACATTTTATCGATATTGATTTTCGGGACAGAAATATCCGTCGGTATTCATTTTTGGGTATATTTTTGTGGTTTTTTTTTTTGAAAATGTTTTCGAATTGGATGTTTCGTACGAAAATAAAATGCATCAAAAATGAAACATTTTTATTTGTATTTTGTTTTTTTTTTTTTTGGGTGGACATTATATATTTTTAGGGGGATATATTGTTTTGTTTTTGGCGTGTTTCGAGAATGATTTCGAAAAATGATTAGAAGAGAGAAAAAGAAATGAAAGAATATATAATATAAATACATTTAACAAATTTTAGTGTGTGTGTGTGTGTGTGTGTGTATGGCCGTGTGTGAGTGTGGTGTGTGTGTGTGTGTTTTGTGTCTGTCTGCGTTACATGTTCTCCGGATCGGATCGTTTCCGTTGTTGCATCTTCTTCATCGTATCTTGCACATGAATGAGGCACATACATATACACAAATGGTCCCAAAAAGTCTAACGACTTTTGGTCGGAATCCCCCCCACAAACATCGAAAAAAACAACAACAAACAAAAATCATTGAGAGTGAAAAACGAGAGTGGAATCTGGGGTTGGGGTGGGTAGAGTGGGTTGGTGGGTTGGTGGGTGGGTAGACACATAGAGCAATAAAAGTTTACAACAAATACAACACTCAATATGTGTGTGTTTGGGTGTGATTCTGTGGTGTGATCTTATAGGTACATGCCCGACAAAGGGGGTTTTCCTTGTGGATCTACTACGATAAACATATATCTTTAGCTGCGATCAAAAGACACATTGGGTGACAGAAAAAGAATTACGATATGTGTGTCTGTTTGTGTGCGTGTGTATGTGTGCGGTGGTGTGGGTGTGACACAGTGGAAAAGAAATAATATGAAGCGATACTAACGTATTTTTTTACAATGTAAGATACCTGCAACATATGATGCGCAAAGTAAGAAAAGAAAATGAAATCATTATTTAGACGCTAGTCCAGATAGTTTATGTTTGACTACTATTATATTATAGAATCTATTAATATTTATAGGCATATGTTGTATGTCGTGTATACATGTATGTGTATAGAGATGTTGCTCGAGGTTCGTGTATGAACAGGAGTATGAATAATGACAATGGCTATTCCACGAGTCAGAAATTAAGTTTCGAGTCAATAAGATATAAACTTTTTCCATCTTAGACATTTGTAAAGTCAGCATAAAGAAAAAGTCTATTTCCTCCAGTGTGGCTTAACAGTAAATCGTGAGTTTTCATGTAATGCATTTACTCAAAGAGAGTGATCTCTCCCAGTCAGTCTGCAAGTCAGGCTTGTAGTCATGGTGACGTCGTCACCACATCTACTCTCTTTCGGGGACCATCCGTTTGGCAGTATGTATGCAAACGTGCCGAACTTTGCACTCTCTGAGAGCCGGGAGAGTATGGATGGTCCTCAGCACAGCGGACGATGTCACCTTATCACTAATTTCATCTTGCTCATGTTTGTTCTATCCTCTCTCACAGCGTTGCTTAGGGAGTTTTAGTTTTTTCTTCGGGGAGAACGAATTCATTCAAAAAATGTGATATTTAAGCGCTAAAAGTTTGAAGTTTTAGTTTAGTTCAGCTTTACCTAACGGACAGTCGTAACGGACAGTATTACATATGATTTATTCCTAATTTGATGAACACGTTAATTTCCTTCTATTTATTTTCTCTCTCTCAATTTCTGACAATCAAAGTGAGTGCATTTCTCAGTCTATGTGTTGTGTGTGTGTGTGGGTTTGTGCGTGTTCTTGTATGCATGTGTGTGTGAGTGTATCTCTACAATTTCTACTTTACTTTTGGCCAAATTCTTCAACGATTTCAACTAGAAACTAAGTAATTTTCAATTGGGGAATACCAAAAAAAAGAAAACCATTAACAAAACTCAATAAAAAAGGTGTTCGAATATTTTCCTCGCGTTGAAATTTGTTCTAATTATCGGAGTACAAGGAAATAGTTATGGTTTGTTTTTTGTGCGTGTGTGTCACAGAGGGAGAGATGGACAGTGACTGCTGCTGAGCGAATGAAGAGCTTGATTGTGATTTATTCTTTAGATTTATCGAGTGTCGTGTGGCACTGTGGAACCTTGAGTTTGATTATGGGATAAATTTATGTAAGCACGATTATAGACAGACAGATGTATGTATATGCAAAGCAAACATCATTATCATTATCAGCATCATTATCAGCATCATCATCATCATCATCATCATATCATATCATCTTCAACGTAGTCAATATCTTGGGCCGGCTGCCATCGCCATTCTCTCTGCTGTACGAGTAGTACGAGTACTGTATGTGTGTTTCATTGTCTGTGTAAGTTCGTTGGGTGTTCTCGGTTCTTTAGTTCTTTGGATTGATGGGTGAGTGGCTCAGATGGGGGGAGGGGGGTTCGATGACAGTGGTGGTTGGTGGCTGGTGGTTGGGGAGATGCTTTGTTGTAGTTTTAGTTAGTACGAGTAGTAGAGTGCTTGAGCTGGCGGGGGCATGATTAGCCAGAGACGAAGGGTGGGTGTCCACGGGGGCCCTGCCCCAGGCCATTGTCTTAGTGTTGTATTTAGTGGGGTGGTGGCTGAGGTTTTTCGGTATATTTCGGTATCGGTATCAGTTGAGGTTTTGATTTTTTTAATTCAATTTTTCTTATTTTTTTTCTCTTTTTTTGTATTTTTTTTTGTTTTCTTTTTTTTTGCGCTTTTGTTGTCGTTGCTATGCAAAATGGTTTTGCTCGCTTTTTTGTTGTTTGTTTGTTGGCAGACTGTAAGAGAATACTTACACAGCACTCTCGGAACTGTTTGGCATCGATGGGCGATGTAAAGTTCAAGCCCCAAGTGTCATTTGTCATGGGATCCTTCCAGTAAACGAAGCACTCTGATGCCTGGCCAATGCGTGTACCTGTGTTTGTAGGGAGGAGCAAGCGGGAATTAGATGCTCATTCGGAGAGGGGAGGGTGGATGATGTGCACTCACCTGGCTGCACAAGTCTCACATCGAGTATCTTGTCCACCTGACTGTTGTACGCGGTGATGTGAAAGATGCACTCGGGCGAGTCCTGAATGCAGGTGATGTTCACAGGAACCAAATCTTCTGACACTTGTTGCCACTTAACGGTGCCGGCTCCGCTGGCTGATACATGGAAGACCTCTGCCCACAACCTGAACGAACTATTGTTGGTTAGAAATACAATTATCAAAGATTGATCAAGATTGATTGTAGAATTAATCCAATTTTAATTGTTTGGTAAGAGGAAAGTTTTTCAAAACAAAGAATCGCATTTGTAGTTGTTTGTTGTTTTAGTTATAGTTGTTGTAGTTATAGTTGTTTTTGCAGTTGTTGTTGTTGTAGTTGTTGTCGTTGGAGGGAAGGAAGAGTTGAAGCAGGAGAACATTTGTTGTTGAGTTTTCGAAGTGGGTTTTTGTTTTTGGCCGCATTTTGTGTGTGTTTTGTTGTTGGATTATTGGATTAAGGTCGTAAGTTAGTTTGTTAGTAATTGTTTTTTTTTTTGTTTTGTTTTGTTTTTTTTTTTTTGAGAAAGAAAGAAAAACCAGAAGAGAAACACAATTAGTTGGATTGGAAAAAAGTTGATCGAAAGAGCGGATTCAATTGTGGTTCTAGCTAATTGTTCAGTTTGTTGTTTGGTGTTTTGTTGTTTGATAGGCCGACATTCGGCAGTCAGAGAACTTAAACAGAGTCAAAGGAGAGTGGAGGGTACTCAGAGAGGAGGGGAGAGAGCCTCTATTAGAACGCACCTCAGTAGATGACCGTCGCGTCGTCGGGAACTCTGCCAGGGTGAATCCTCATAGCGATAGGCCTTGCGCATAAGCGGGGCACAGGAGCAGCTCAATTTGTTGCCCATGGCGCAGTTGGCGCAGCTACCCGCAGATCCTACACAACAATATAGAAGATTATATTTGTTAAGAGATAGAATAATGGCTATTTAAGAGTACTTACCTTTACCAGAGGCACCCCGATGTCACCACATTCCGCTCACGTCCGCCTGCGAGAGCGCCTGTCCGCGATTTAACGACTGCGATCGCTGATTGTGCCGATGGCCGTGGTAGCGACTTCCTCGCTGGAAAGATTAAACACATGAAATATGAGTAAATCTATCAAATATCTGTTATGTTTCTTCGGCTGTAATATTCGAAAAAACAGGTCTTTAAAGCAACCCACACGCCAACGCTTATTATTATCATCATCCACACATAACCGAGCGACCGCAGAGGCCGAGAGGTGCGAACGCCGCCGGTGCAGTCCACTCCCCCATCACTCCACTCGGCGGCCGCTGCAGAGCTAAAAAGCTGTTGTGTAGGTGTCAAAAACAAAAGAAAATCCACAACGCAAACGGAACGATGTAAAGCGGAAAATGTGCTTTGAAGTTTTTGCTTTTGATTTCGTTCTCTAAAGTGCACATTGCAGATGCAAAATCTCTTTTTATGGGGGGATATAATTTCCACAGATATTCACTCTGTCTGCCCCATATGTCTGCCACATGGGGGAGATGGCTATAGCTGTGATTATAAATACATATATAGCCGTATAAATGTATATATCTATTTATGTTTACATCATTGAAACGGTCGCGGAGACAGAGACACCTGTTTTATCGAATGGATGTTGGCCATTCAGTTGCCGGCTTCGCTTCCTATGTGGATTGGCTTACTCGGATTGCGGTTCACAGATTGCGGCTAAAAGAGATCTTGAAAACGCCAAAACAACATCACAAATGCACGCCACAGACTCAACTAAAAGACGCCGAAGAAAAATCAAAATCAAATCGTTTTCCATTCACACTCTCGCGGCGGCCCCAGTCGGCGGCTCTCGGGGCTCTCTCTTTTGGCGTCTCGTGAGTGCCTCCAACGCCCACACAGCCCGCATTCTGCTCAAGAGATCTCTCAGATCTCACAGATCTCTGCTGGGAGATATGTTCGGGGGCCCACAGAGTGATCATCAAGTGGACCACTAGACAACGTCGACGACGACGACGACGACGACGACGACAATGAGAATGGGCATGGGCATGGGAATGAGAATAGGGAAAATGGTACCACATCTCTCTCTCTGTGCTTTCCCTCTCAGCGTGCCACTGGATGCACGTGTTGTTGTCAGAATGTATTTTTAAAATCAATCAAAAGGCGAAAACAAGAGCGAAGCTCTCAGCTCTCGCAGCACTCTCATGGGGAAATGCAATTGGGATTGAAGGTGACACACATTTCGGGGCGATGAGCGACACATCGAATTGGTTCATCAAACTGTTCACAATATTTGGCAAGTGATGGATATTTTTATAGGGGGGAGAGAGGGACATTCTCGTTAATTTAAGAATGGATAGTGAATGGGTAGTAAAATTCTTTGAAGAATAATTTTTAGGGAATAAGATGAAGAAAGGAGTAATTGAAAGGAGCAAATACTTGAACATTTGTGTATATTTCCATAGGTTATGCTGAACTCTTAGAAAACTAACAATATATGAACACTTCCAACATTTCTATGAAGCTATAATATGTTATGTATCTATACTTCTCGAGGTTCTAAAGATGCTAGTTTTTGACAAAAGCGTAAGGATGGATATAATTTGCGCATATTTTGGAGGTAAGGAAAAGCTGGAAGCAGAAGGCACTTTTAAAATGAAGAAAATAAGATTTTCAGCACACTTTCGAGAACCTCACAGCCGCCCTTGTACACATCATCATCTCGTATAACCCACTGGATTTTGACTGAAACTGTCTTTGATTTTTAAGGGGTTTTTTGAATGGACAAGTAATTGCTATTTATTCGTCTGGAAACATATACACACCTCCACATGACCCCAGCCATCGGCGTTTAGTTTGGCGGCTGCCTCGACACTTTCCTTGGCGCCCATTGCTTTGTTTTAGTTTTGCTTTTTTTAGTTCACGTTTGGTTGGTTTTTATGTTTTTTGTATGGAAATTGTTTCGCTTTTCGTTAAGTTTCGTTTGTTGGGGGGCTTTCTTTATGGTTAAGTGCTTTCTCGATGCAGAGAAAGACCGGGGGGAGGGAGGAGGGTGGGGGGCGACTCGAGGGTCGGGCAGATGTCAGATGTTATTTATTTTGAGGCCCAGCAGGGAGCCAGGGAGCGTTTGCGTTTTGGGGTCCTGGCTCTGGTACTGGATTCTGGCCAAGAGACTCCGCTCAATGTATAAATATTGAGCGGATTGACGTTGACGTCGTTCCTGCCGTCACACTCTCTCGCACAGACTCTCTCTTTTGCTCTCTCTCTCTCTCTATCACTTTGTCTCTCTGTGTTGATTGAACGGGAGAGAGAAAGGGATGCTGGTGGCTGGATGCCGTTGAAGGCGGCTTTCAATCGACTTTCGTCAAGTTGAACACGCTAACGTTGAAAGCAGTTAAATAATAGAACAGGAGCACCGCATCCAGCACCTTCCCCTGCGCCTTCTGCATGCGTGTGTTTGCTTCCAGAGTCCGCTTCTCTGGCTCCTTCAGCCTGGTATGTGGTTCCTCCTATATGACGCGTGTGGTCCTGCCTTCCGTGCGTCTCGTCTCGTCCCTCTGTGTGTGGCGTGTATTATTTATGCAGCAGAATGTTCTTGCTGCCGATGATGCTGCTGCTTCTGTTCCTTCTCTAGAGAGTTTTAGCTTTTTGTTTGCTTTTTATGGTTCGGCTTTTTTTCCTTTATTTTTTTTTGTTTTGTGAATTTTTCACTTTTTTTTGTGCTTTTAAACGGTGCGTATGGTTAATGTAGATTTCGCTTTAGTTTTTGGTAATTCTTTTGAGTGTTCTTTCAAGGGTTGTGCCTGCATGGGATCTGGAGGTTATAGTTAGGGTTTTGTTGTTTTATCCATCAGAGCTTTTCGATTTGGCAACGCCTTTCGGGGAGCACGACCACAAAAAAAAATGGTTACGTTTTTCGGTAATTTTGAGTTATTTCCGAATCAAAATTCAGCTTTAATTAAAGATCACTATTCGCGGTTTAGTTCGAAATACATTTTGGTTTGATTTTTGTTATTTTATGCAAGAATTTAAGCTTTTTTCTTTTATTTTTTTCTTTAGTTTTGGCCACAACGACAGGGAGCAGGTTCGGTTCAGATGATGGCTCTGTGTATTTTTGTGCTCTGCCAAAATACCTACAAAACTTGACGAAACTCGAATGTTTTCACTTGACGAAACAGGAGGCTGGCAGAGCACAGCAGCAGCAAAACATAAGGGAGAGGAGCAGAGCTGAGAAATGGGAGAGCAAAGTAGAGCAGAGATGAGCGTCGAATTACAGCGACAGCCGAAAATTGCTCCCTCTCTTCCCCCTTTCACTCTCTCTTCCCCGCTCTGCTGCTGCTGCTGCTACTGCTGCTGCTTATCCCGTTGTTGTTGCTGTACAACATATATTTTAATTTCGATTTCTTTCTTGCTTATCCTTTACTTAGTATTCCTCTTCCTCTTTGCGCTTCTCTTCTTCTCATCGCTAGGTATATGTGTGTACATGTCTGTGTGTCTGTGTGTGTGTGTGTGTGTGGTCTTAGCTTAGAGGTATGTGTAGTTTCCCCATCCCATCCCGTACCGTCCCGTCCCCTCACCAATCCTCATCCTCCATGTCTTTCGGTCTTTGCCGTCTGTCTGTTCCGTCTTTTCTGTCCCTATGCGACTGTGTGTGTGTGTGTGTGTGCCTCTAAAAAAGTTGCATAAATCACCACACCTTAATTTACTTAAATGCCATTTCTTGCACTCCCCCACACCCCTCGTCGTTGTGACTTTAATTATGTTTGTTTTCATGCATTTCGGTTAAACTTTTATTTCATTCGGAAAATGCCTCGTGGGCGTTTTTTCCACCACAGTCCACAGTCCAAATGTGTGTGCTACACTTTTTTTTGGTTTGGTTTCTTGTTTTCTATTCCATGTTCACTTCCTTACAATTTCGTTATTATTTGAAATTTGATTTTAGGTTAGAATTTAAGTTTGTTTTGTGCGTTGCGTTTGGATTCTCCGTTTTTTTTCTATGAGGGGGGTTTCGTTTTTAAAGCCTAAATAGTATTTTTCAAGCAGAGGCGCAGTGGAGAAAAAACGACCAGCGCCAGCCACAACCGTCGACTTCGAAATTCGTTTTGACTTTGCCAGGAGCAGCAGCAGCAGAACAGAAAGGAGCAGAGCAGAGCAGTGGCAGAGCAGCAAAGATGCTGTGACGTTAACAGCGACGCCAGCTGCGCTGCCTTGCTGCAACTGTTGGAATGTGTGCCACACATTTTTTCGGGGTGGCTTTGCTTTTGTTGTTGCTGCTCCTGCGGCGCTGCCCCTTCTCTGCTTTGCTTCGTGTTAGAACGCATTTTGTTACATTATTTTACATGCCGCTGCCGCTGCCACTGCCACTGCCGCTGCTGGATGCTGTGAAAGTTTTAGCCATTTTGCCTCGCTTTTAATGTCTCCCCAATGCATATGCATGTGTGGCATCTGAGCTTGTGTGTGTGTGTGTGTGTGTGTGTGTACTCGCCGTTCTCTCTTCGTGTGTGGTTGTGTGTGGGAGTGTGTGTTAATGTAATATTAATGTTATAATTTGCTAGGCGGAAACGACAATGTACGTGCCAGGCTTTAGGCCCATCAATAATGCAGCAAATTTAAAGGGTGGAGGGGTGGTGGCAAAAGGCGATGGGGCAAGAGGTGGTTAGAGGGTGGAGTAGAGTAGTAAGTGCGTGGTGCATGCCAATTTCCAATTAGACACAAAAAATTACAACACCAATAAGAACATCTGACTGGGGGGGTGGGTGGACCCCATCCACACTAACCCCCCTCTATGCAGGCCTTGCCCAACACTGGTTGGATGGCAGGTCGCAGCACGTTCAACATGCCACAAAGTAAAAGTGAAAAGCAACATCAAAATTAATAAGTAGAAAGGATGCTGAGTGGCGCTGCTGCGGGCTGCTGCCTCAGCGCCAGCGCTGGCCGAACAAAGTAGCAAGTGGGAGGAAGAGCGAGAGAGAGCGTAAGGATGATGAGAGAGCATCGCCTGTGCGTCGGCGCTGTTTCAATCACTCAACGAAAGCTTCGTCAAGTTGAGAAACAGCGGACCAGCTGCACAGCCTCCTCCAAGCATCCCCGACTCCATCGCACTCTACCCCACCTACCAATAACTGTTAATCCCGCTTGCATTAGAATATTATCAAATATTTAAACAATTTGCTAGCTAACGGTTCCATAGGGGAGGGGGCGTAGTGCAGGACCAGAATGGGAAGGGGATTGGTGGAGCAGGGTGTGCGGGCACCCACTTGCAGCGGCAGCCAGCCCACGCGCCGAAAACGCAGCCCACGCCAACGTCCCGTTATCTCTCACGAAAGACGTCATTACAAACTGCAGTTGGCAGCGACGCGACTGCAGTAGCAGCAGCATCAGCAGACCAAAAGGCGCGTCACGACATGCATTATAGGAACAACAAGAACAAGAAGAGTCATGCCATAGCATAACGGAACACGGAATAAGAAGAAGAGCGGTAGCAAAACGAAACATCTAAAAGTTAAACGGTAAATGGCCGAAAGATGCTCCCGCTGCTGCTACTGCTGTTGTTGTTGGGTTTTCCTGCAATAATTGGCAATCTCTCTATTCCAGTGTGTGTGTGTGCGTGTGTGGCCTTTTTTGTTGTTGCGTAAGGCTTTATAGGGCAACCGGAGGGTGTGGTTGATGCGCAGTTTTCCTGCTCCAAAATTGTAATTCACCTTCTGCTCCCCCGTCGGAGTGTTGGCAACCCTAACATCTGTTCGTTGGCCACCTGCAATCTCTTCTGCACCTTGCTTTTTTATGAATGAACGCACGAGGCCCCACAGCAAGAACAACACCAACACCAATAACACGCAGAAGAGGGGAACCCAAGCACCAAGGCTTGTTACATGCGCAAAACTATATGTTAATTGATCAACAATTACCTGTAAACAACAGCAGTTACACCAGTCACACATATTTTAACGAAATCAATGCTTAATCAACAAATAATTTACATTTTCCGTAAATCTGTGGAGCACAGCACGATTTCGCGCGGCGGCTTGAAAAATGTTCTAAAAAATACCACTAGAATGTACTGGAGGTTTTGGTATTTTTAAGTGTTGCAAGGCGTTGCAGAAGCTGCCACTTTACAACACTCACACTATGTCCACTATCGCAACTATCGTTACTATCTCAACAGTCAATCGGTGTCAATCGAAGTCAAGTATTTAAAATAAGCCAGTCAAGTAGAGAATAGATTAATTAATTGGATACAATTTTGTGGGCATGAATGAGAGATCTATCTAGCTAGTAATATTCCACAGAATATCAAAATCGAGGAATAAGTATAATAGAACTTGAATTCGTCAGTATATTTACGGTATATTTTTTAAATGATATGGTATATTTCTGAGGGTCGGACGATATATTTGATCGATCGTAGTCTGTGGTCACACTTACGGTATATTTTTAAAATAGTATGGTATATTTCTGGGGGTCGGACGATACATGTTATCGAACGTGGTCCGTGGTCACACTGATCGCGGTGCAACTTGTGGAATTCAGATGCCGAACGCCGCCAAAAAAATTTAAATAAACAATCCAATAAATACAAATTCCATTAATATGATTGAGACGGAGGCGGACGAGCACATGCTGCGAGGCATCAACAGCGCAGATGTGGGGCCCGAGGCGAAAGGTGAGTAAAGCAGTAGTTTTTATTTTTACAGACTTTCATGCCTTTTCTTTTGGGATGTTTTCCCGCGCAGAATACAATCTGCTGCGAGCGGACGAGGAGTACAGCAATGGAAATGTGGAGCACTCCATCTACTACCAGGTGAAGGCGCAGTTCCAATCCACGGACCTGAGATACATTACGGAGGCGGAGGAACTGGAGAATCAGCGGCCCAGCACCCAGGATCTGCTGCGTGAGGCCAGTGACAAGGAGAGAAAGGACTATAAAAGGTGGGGATCCACTAAAAGACACTTAATAAAAGCTTTTGGCTAATCCATTTGCTAAACAGCAACCGATTCTTGCAGAACATTATCAAAAATTTGCAGAAAAAGGAGAGCCTAAAACCTAAAACACTGCCTTCGATAGAGCCCATAGAGCATCTGGACTTCCTAGAAGATGTGGATGATCCAGTGGCTGGCCTGGCGCGCATCACCGACATCTGCAATAGCCTGCCCAGCGAATGGTGTGTCCTGCATCTCTGCAAGAGCTTCAATCCGGACACCACTTACTCGGTTTTCAACGAGATCTTTGCCTCCGATGGTTCCATCTACTTGTCCCTGCTACGACACTGCCGGAGCCCCGAACTGGGACCCATTTGTTTGCGATTCCACAACAGCGGCCTGGCGGAGGTCTTCAAGCAGTACAGCACCCTGGTGGACCGTTTCAGACGAGTGGTCACCGTGGATCCCCTGAATGTGAAGAGCAAGGAGGCCAAGCAGAAGTATTGGGAGGAGCTAAACGGCTTTGATGCTTTTCTACAGGTAAGTCTACAGGCAGGCAGAGAACGGATGCGGTAACATTTATATTTTACAGAAACTTCTCTCGGAATTTCGGGATATCATATTGCCCTATTCCTTTGTATTCCTGGGCAAACGCTACGACTGCAGCGCAGTTGCAAAGCAAACTAAAGCTGTCTTCGACCGCGTAGACGAGTTCTGCGTGAACCGTCAGTGGAGCAATCATCAGCGCGTGCTGTTCTCCCAGGCGTCGCTGCATGCCAACCGACTGACCTCCACGGACATGAAACTGATTGCCTACGAAATAACCAGCAACGAGAATGAAACCCACATAGTCTACGATATGCTCAGGGTATTCGCCAGCGAATGGCAGCCGCTGGAAGACCGCCAAGTGCAAGTGGCCAAGAGTTTTCCCACCATTCTGGTGGTCGATGAGGTTTGTCTGTGTCCCCATCTAATCTGGGTTGCAATTAATTGTTTTGTCTGTTCTGTCTGTCTGTTCCCGCAGCGACTGGATCATCTGCATTGGGAGCAGCTGGCAACGACCCAGGAGTTTTCCCGCGTCAAATCGTTGCACTGCCTGTGGCGGCTATATCAATACCACAAGAAGAGCATCCGCCATGGCTACTACACCAGCAGCATCAAGCGTGGCATGTGCGTAATAAATCCTGGAGCGGACTTACCCAACTCTGGGAGGAGACTGAGGACCTTCTTCGAATACTGGCTCTCCCACTGGAGGCATCTGTTCGAGACGGTGCCCACCGAGCAGGTGATGCTCCAACAGGCCTACCAGGCCGATTGTTTTGTGTGAGAATCAACAAAGTCCTGAGCCTTTGTGTCGCCCCCATTCTAATCCTCTCCCCATAGTTATGCTGGTCATGGCTCTGGCTTGCAGTACATCAATGGACGTGCCATTTGTCGTGCCCGTGTCCGCAGTGTGGTATTTCTTTTTGGCTGCGATTCCACACGGATGCTGGGCACGGGTCTGTACAGCGCCCTTTATGGAGCCCATGATTATTACCAAGGCGCCCTGTGTCCCACCGTTGTGGGCACCCTGATGCCCGCACTTGATGGCAATATGGACAACGTCTCTGTGACGGTGCTCAGCCTTTGGCTGAGTCCCGGAAATAGCCAAGTGATGCCCTGGACCCACATCCACAAAATGTCCTGGAGCAAAAAGGGGATTATCAAAGGTTTGACGAGACACTTCTCCACTTCCACTGATATGGATATTGATTGACAAACATATTATTTGGTTTCGCAGCTTGTGGCGATGGTGAGGGGCCGCCGCCCACCATGGCAGAGCAGCCCAACTACCATTTGGGAAGCTTGAGCTCCATTCTGTCGCTGGTGCAACAGGGCAAGGTCGAGCCGCATGTCTACAATTGCTGCATTTACGTGTGTAGGGGTCTGCCCGCCTGGAATCTGGCCGTGGAACCGATGCCCTTCTAAATCCCTTCTAGTTTCAATTCGTATGGCAATCAATTAGAAAATTATCAAAAAATGATGTACGAGTATGTAAAAGAATCGTTGCTCAAGCCACTACTTCAGACGGTGCTCATTAGATTGCATAAAACATTATTTATAACACACTCAGAGTAATAACTTTAAGAATAAACCAAGTACAAGTATATTTATATTTTTAGACGAAATTCTTACCTTTCCTGCGGTCGGGTCGATTCCCGGTAGATTTGTGTGATGTCTGAGGTCTGCTTTTAGCACTTGAAACTTGAAGTTGTTCTTTTGCTTTTAAGTTAAGTTTGTAACTTTGTTTAGACTTTGTACATTGTGTGTTTTAGTTTGTTGGAACTTTAGACCGTTTAGAGATGTAGTATTTGTTTTTAATTTTGTATTTTAAAAATTGATTTCCATGCCATAGAGACAGAGAGTGGGTGAATCTTATGCCTGTGCAGGAGTAAAGGATTATTCAAACAAATGTTAAGTGAAAGTGAGGGGTGCATAAAACAGAGAGATAGTTAAACGACGTGGAACATTGAGATTCGATAGAAAAAAAATATAGAATATGAGAAAAGATTTGCCCACACCCAAAGGGAAAAGGCTACTGAAACGCCCATCTATTTATTTACTCGCATTCGCACTCGCACTCGCACTCGTGTGCTCTCTTTGCGACTCATCTCTGCTCATCGCGTGGCATCGCACCTCGTCCTCGTCCTCGGTTGCCTCGTGTTGCCCTTTTGGCACAGAGCTTTCTTTCAGGCGAAAGAGTTTCGCCCTCAACCTCCAGCATCGAATCTACTTGACCTACTAACGCTTGTCGCATTATGACACACATTCGTTAATTAGGCCCAGGCCCAGGACCAGGCCCAGCCCCAGTTCTAGCCCATCCCTAAAAGGGACCCACCTCTCCTCCCCTCTACACCCCTCATCACCGCACAAATAGATATCCCTGCAAATCATTGCTCATCGAATATGCGGCGTATGCGTAATATTTTTGTGTGGCCCCGATTTGCATGCCACACAACATTCCATTCCAATCCCCCGCCCCCCAATGCCAGCTAGCCACACAGCGCAGGCATGCCGTGCCCCTATTTATGGGGCTACTACAACATCTATCGATGTGGAGTGGAGTGGAGTGGAGGTGAAGTGTGGAGTGTCCTTCATGTTAATGTCTCAATGCCGTGCCCATGCAACGTGTCCCGATTTGTGTGTGTGTGTGTGTGTGTGTGTCTGTGTATGTGTGTGTGTGTTAAATCAAATTAGCAGCGGGAGCCAAGGTGCATGCCACACCTCCCCACCTCCAGGTTAGAGAGAGAAAACGAGAACTTGTAACATGACAGGAGACAGCGTCAGAATGAGGATATTACATAACAGGCGCTCCCCCAATGTAAATCTTGTTGTATATTCTCTGCGCCTGTGTGTGTGTGAGTGAGTGAGATTGTGTGGCATGCCCCAAATGAATATGCGATGACGTTGACGTTGCTTTTGTTATTGTTTGGATGCTGTTTCCCTTTTGTTTCCTCTCTCTTTCTCTTATGCTGCTATTTCCTCTCTGTGTTTTGCTTTTTTTTTGCCGTTTTTCATTCTATTGTTATTGTTCTTTTCATTGCGTTTTAGTGGCTTTTTTTTATCCTTAAAACAATTATAATTACAAAATCATTATCCAAATCGTTTCTTTTGTTTGATTCTTAACCTTCAACTCTTTGCTTTTTTGTTGAGATTTCCCTTTTAGTTTTCCATTTTTTCATCTTTAGTTGAGATGATTTCCTTTTCGTTTTCCACTTTTTCTAGCATTTTAGCTATTCCTTTTATGCAAAAAAAAAATGTTACAAATTGTTTTTCATATATGTATTTTTGGGATTTTTGTTGTTGTTTTTTTAAAGGGGTTTTGTTGAAAATTTGTTGCTGAAACGCTTTGTTAACTTTTGTTGAAATTCTTTTAGTTGTCGAAGTTATTGTTTTTGTTTTTGTAATTTGTTTTTTTTTCTTTTTATTTGCAGCAGGAGCTTTGATTGCCTGCTTCTGTTTTTTTGTATATTTAAATATATATTTGTATTATTTTTATAGTTTTATCCGCCGCGTTGCACACAACAATTCTCGGCCAGAGATCAACTGAGACTGGGCCACAAAAATCCCAGAGACCAGAGCCCTCGCACAAGCAGTTGCATCCTTTTTTGGGGGGGTCCTGTTCTGGCTTCCGGCTCTGCTGCTGCCTTCGAAGGACGCGCGGCCCAACAATGTTGCAAACTGATTTTGCGGCAACAACAACCGTTCAAGCCTCAACAAAAACAGCCAAAGGGCCCGCACACGAGAGAGAGCGAGAGAGAGCTTCAGTGAGAGAAAAAACTTTCACCTCTCGCGTGCGTGTCCCTGTCCATGTCCTCGCCTAATCTTTTTGTTGTTGTTGCCTCCCTTCCTCCCTCTGTTTCACTTTCAGTGACAGGGAGAGAGAGATAGAGAGAGGGAGTGTCATAAGGGATTGGGATAGATGGAAGCTTACAATGATTCTGCGTTTTCATGGAGATTTTGTTGCTGCCGGAAAAGCTTCAATGTTGCCGCCCGTCCACGTGACGACTTGGAGGACGTCCCTATCCTGCGAGAGCGAGAGAGCTTTCTTATCACAGCCCGCATAGAGCTTTTGGGGTTGAGGGAGGAAGAAAGCAAAAAAGAATAGCATGGAGTAGACTGACGAATGCCCTATCTTTATAGATCTAGAATTCGTTTAATGGAAAACCTCATAGAACTAAAAACTTACAGGATAATTAGAGGTAGATACAGTTACGTTTAGGATTAGGTTTAGGCTTAGGATTGGGGGGAAGGATTCCTTCGTTCCCCGTCTCTTGTATAATATCTAAATTCGCATATGAAAAAAAAATTACTGCACTTAAACGTGTAGATAGATTTCCTTGTGTTGTGTGTGTTGTACGTTGGGTTTCTTTGATTTGATGCGTTTCTCCGTTCTGTCTTCTTTCCTTTCCTTTCCGTTTCTCGCTCAATTTTGCATTTTTTGTACTCTTCAAAGAAGTTTGTAACTTCCTGTGACACCCCACTAGGCCCTACCTAGCTCTCTCTCACCCTTCGGGGGCTTGCTCCGTGTCCTCCAGGCTTTTGCTGCTGCTGGTTTGTGTCTGCGACAAGAGAGATGTGGATGTGGCGTGAGCTTCGAGCGGGGCAGGACTCCCTTTTGGGGCAGGACTCACCACATTCCGATGGGGGCAATCGGCGTGGAGATGGTCCTCGCCGCGGCACCGATGGCAGCGCTTCGGCTGCGGCCCCAGAGCGCACTCGGAGGCGATATGATTGGCGAATTCGCCGCAATTATAGCAGCGCATGCGGCGAGTCCGACGATTGCTGAAAGAACCGGAACGGAACGAAATATGATTATGGTAACATATGTACATTTATGGCAAAGAAAAGTCGTCCGTAACCATACATGCGTGGTCGGTAGGTGCTGCCGTGGCACTCGTCCCCCGCGCGACCCGAGACCCTGGTGGCCTCCAGGCCGCGGGCCGTGCGATGGCACTCGAACTCCACCTCCTCCTGCTCGCCAAGCGAACGAAATCCAGACATCTTGATGACACTCTACAAAAACGGAATAAAAGAGAGTCAGAGGTATGGATTCTGTTGGAGAGAGAACACCCACCTGATGCACGAAGACCTCTTGGCCGCCATCGTTGGGGGTTAGGAAGCCCCAGCCCTTGGCCACATTGAACCATTTGCATTTGCCCAGGCGCACACAGCCGCATTCCTCGCCAGGATTCGCTAAGAATAGAAACGGAACGTATATTATGGGATTAGGTAACTTGAGTTCTTCTGCTCTCGCATTCGATATCCTGTCTGGGAATCCTTCGCGAAGGGTTTTTGTTATTCAAATGAGCCGCAGAGCAAAGAGGCAGCTGAAGAACTTGGGACCGAACCCGTGTGTGGTGTGTGGTGTCTGTGTGTCCTTGCCCCATTTGCCGCGAGGCAAGTTCAGCTTAGATCTGTGTCTCTGTGTCTCTGTGCCTCTGCCTCTCACAAAACCTGTTTCGTTCGGAATATTTGGAAGCGACAGCGCGCGTATTCATTTCATTATCTAAGGCATGCCCTCATCTCGCTCGCACACGCATTCACGCACTCACGCACTCGCACACCCATTCATTTGAGTTCATTCATTCATTCATAAATGGTATTTACTTCGTTGTGTTCCCATTTCGTGTTGTGCTGCTTATCTTCTGGATAGGGATAGGGGGGGCCCCTTCTGTAGATACAGATACGCATTCTAATGCACATTCTCATGGTAGCTCTATCTCTCTATCCCTCTATGTCTCTCTCTCTCTCTCTCTCTCTCTTCCTACATTTCTGGGGTTATTGTTGTTGGCTTTTCTTGAGAGATTTTCCCTCACATTTCAATGGAATTCTTTGGTTAATGGAAATTATTTTGCCTCTGATAAGAAACCGTGGAGAAATCCTTGGGAAACCACCACCACATGGCTGATTATCCTTTTTATGGATTCCCATTCCTTTTCTTATAGGCAAAGATCCCACAAACTGGTTTTTTTGTGTTCAGTTCGGAGTAGAGTAGAGTAAATCTTCAGAAATCTATGCTCAAAGCAGGGAATCCCATCCTCAGGGCAGAGATCTATCTTCGGAGCAGATCTATGTATCCTTCCAGTTCAGTCAAGCATATAGGCTAAGCCTGTAGAAAGGGTGTGGGGAGGGGGGTAGGAGAGAGGGATGGAGGAGGGTTAGTATTTGTCCTTGATTGCCGTGGGCTGCGGACGGGGGGTGTTGCCGCGGCAAAAGTCGGTCATCGTTCGATCTGCCGAGGGGTTGAATGACACTTTCCCCCGTATCCCGTACCACGTACATTCCGTACATAGAATTTCCGCATTTGCCAATAAAAAATCGAAATCCGCGAATGGCAAAATCACAACAAAAACGTAAAAACACGAATCGACGAATAAAGAAACTGCGCAGTACATAAAAAACACAAAAGAGCAACAGAGAGGAGAGTGGAGAGAGAGAGAGAGAGAGAGAGAGAGGGTACCACGAGTGGGAGAATGAGAGCGAGCGATCATAGCCAATCAGCGAGGCGTTTGATAAGATTTCGTATTGAATTTTGGCTTTGGTTTTATTTTGGAAACAGACGAAAAATCTAAAAACAACGAAACTAGTTTGGTAGGGCGGGTGGTGGGGCTGGGTAGGTGGCATGGGCGAGGGGATGGGGGTGGGGAGGTGACGGGTGGTCGGACATTCTGTAAATCGGGGGCACAGACCTGGCTGGGATGATGTTGTGGAGCTGTTGCTGCTGCTGCTGTTCGGGTCTCCTCCTGCATCGGGTTTCTGCTCGTCTGCCACTTGAATGTTTTCCATTTTAGTTTTCCTTCAGTTATTCCTTGGGGTTTTCTTGGTTTGTTTTTTTCTTTTGTGTTTCGTTTTAATCTTCTTAATTAGACTCTTGAAATTTTCACTTTAAATGCATGTTTTTTCCCCTGCATGTGTAGATACAGTTGTACGAGGTATCTGTCGTTGTAGTTGTTGCTTCAAATGTATCTGTATTTGTATCTTTTACCGAGCACGCACACTCACTTACACAGTTACACGGGTTTTCTTCTACGTTTCGTCTGTGTAATTATTTTCCAAGGGGGGGAAAAAAACGCTGCCGCTGCGCACGACGCACTTCGTCACACTGACTCCGCGTTGCCTTTCGACTATTTCTAGGAAGGTCGCGTCGCCGTCGCCGTTGCCGTTGCCGTTGCTGCCGCCGTCGCTGCCACCGCTGCCGCCGCAGGCCCGAAAAATGTTTAGGCTGTATCTTCAAAATACGTGTTCATGATTGTGTGCGTGTGCATATGGGTATGTGTGCGAGTGTGAGCGAGGAAAAACATCGAGCCGAGTCGAGTCGGGTCGGGTTGAGCGTGCGAGCATGGAACGTAAGCAAATGTATCTGCCAGATACTCTTACTCTATACAAAGCGATCCACAGAGGTGAGGGGAGCAAGCCAGAGAGGGGGAGAGAGAGAGAGAGAGCGAGAGAGAGAGAGAGAGAGAGGGAGTGAGCACGAGTATAAGAGATAGTGCGTGAGAGAGCGTGTAAAACTTGTGGATCTATGCGGAACCCCTAGCCGTATAAACATTTAGATGTATCTGTATCTATGACTCAAACACGAGTATAAGTGCGTAGATCAAGCGCTGACTTGAGGATCTTTTAGCACGCTTTTGATAGGCTCACGCTGGAAACCCATTCCCCTCAGGATTTCCATAAAAAACAGCTCCTGATTGGTGAAAAATTGCATTAAAAAACTGCACAACCCTCGTTGTGCTGTTCCTGGCGCGTGCCAGGCAGCCAGCCAGCCAGCCAGCCAGACAGCCAGCCAGCCGTAAGGGATTCGGTTGCATTTCCACCACCAGGCTCACCCCCAAAGGATCCTTGCAATGTGCAACATATTTGCGAATGCTGAGCCTGCCCCTGCCCAGCCCTGCTCTTTCTCTCCCCTCCCTTGCCTGCGACGATGTGTTATGCACGCAATTTATTGCGACACGTGCCTCGTGCCTCTGGCATGCCGAATCGAACCAATGCCATTGATGACAGCGGCAGCCCGAGAGGGCGGAAACTGTATTGTGAGTCCGAATACACATTTATGTGCACATACATATCTCGAACGGTTAAGGGAGGTGCCGCCTGGAAAACCCCCGCCCTCCCACATCCATCCATCTATCCATCGGTTTATGAATTTCACAAAAATTAAACTGAAATTTCAGTAAAATTTGTGTTTCGAATTAAGAATTCGTTTTGGAAGCAATTCTGGAAACAATTTGGTAGCTCCAAACTAATAGAAAAGGTAATTTTTCTACCTAATAATCAAGTATTAAGCGGCAAATACATATCTTCTACGTGTAATTTACAATGACTTAAATTCGTGAAAAAATCCCTTAAATCCATTAGTTTTTTTCATATTTTTTAGAACTCTTTAATGTCTTCAATCGGAACTGAGGAAGTTGAAAATCTGGTCTGATTCCAAAAAATATACAAAATCAAACTCAACAACTTTTAAAGGTCATTTATTCTAACGAATAAGAAAATAAAAACTCAAGTTATGATCCCTGAAGTCAGATAAAAGGTAATGCTTCAGCTTCAATGGGAGCTCCAGCTCCCACTTTCGACTCTTAAAGATCCATTTATTCCCTTCACTTATGAGAATTTTCCGCATTCCACATCGGATGAAGCATTCCCCCAAAAAAAGGAAACACATTGAGACCCAATTCGCATTCAAACTAGATCGAACACAACGCGAATGCCCAGCGAGGGGTCACCGAGGGTCAGTTAAATTTTTTTATCAGCGATAAATACATGAAAAAGAACCCAAACAAAGAGTCGAGAACAAGCCGTTGCACAGTCTGTAATCAATATTTTGCCACTGCTATTCTATCCGGTGCCATTCTGTGCCATGCTGTGGTCCAATCTCTAGGTCCAGTGGCCGGCCAGTGGTCTTCAATGCCGAGCTCGGACAAAGGGCCGCAACGAGAGCGAAAGTGCCCATTAGGGATGGCAGCAGAGCCACTCACATGCGCATAATTGGAACAGGATTAACAAGGCCAGGGCATCAGAATGAATGCATCAGAAGTTGGGGAAGTGCCGCAAGCCAGACGGCCATTGTCCGAGGAGGGTCCGAGGATCGGCTCGAGGCATTTCCGGACAGGCAACGGGCAACGGGCAGCGGGCAGCAGGCACCAGTCAGCAGTCAGCAGGCAGTCGGGGAGCAACACACAATGGCCATGAAAATAATCCGCTTTAAATGGAAAACGTTGCCAAACAGTAATCAAAAGGTTTTGGTCATGGAAAATGAGGAAAATTCGTACCCAAATTCTATGCAAAATCATAGAAATGAAAGTGCGGCATAATGAGAGGGAGGCGGGGAGCCACAGCAAGGGAAGAGGGTAGGGTGGCTGCATATCCATGTGGCAGATCCACACAGCACGCGTTTGACCTAACCTGGCACCTCGTCTCCCTCCCTTAACCTCCCTCCCTAGACATCAATTTTTCCCTTTTTTCCCAGCGATAATCAGGGCATAGTTTTTTTGTTGCAAAAACTTTTCTTTTTTATCCATAAAACGTATACAATTTGCATGTTTCAGGGAGGGGGAGGGGGAGGGGGAGGGGGCTTTGACATGTATGCATAACCATTGAAGTGCCCTACTTTCATCATTGATTGACATGTGATTGATGTTTCCATTTGCAGTGACAGCGTCAAAGAGAGGTCCTTTAGCCAGGATAAGCTCTGTTCAAAAAGAGCGAGATAGACAGGGTAGATGTGAGTCCTCATTTTAGTGGCACAATATTTTGCCAGGCTTAATTTTTTCTTATAGATTAAATCATACTAAATACGAGAATGTTCTTATAAACATGATTTCATCATTTTACTAACGCAACGTAGGAGATATTTCAAGCTATCTTTCTTACAGGATCTCATTGCAAATAAATCGAAGACCTGGGAGATAGAGAGTCCCACAAAGATATAATATCTGCCCGTCTTCTGTCTTGTCTAATGTTAGTCTTAGTCTTTAATAGAAGACAGCTTCAAAGATCTTAAAACTGAAGATATATGGTTAAAAATATCTTAATTAGACGAGCTTACCTTTATATATTTATCTCCCCAGATTCCTTAGTATTTCAAATCGTCAGATCGTAGCTGAAAAAAACAGAGGAAGGGGAAACAGTTGTAGATATTTTGTCCAAAGAAAACTACTCCTAAAAGTATGCCTTTATTCTATGGTAGCCGCAAAGACGTTTCGTTTAGAATAGAAGAAATTCGAATAAATTGTTTTTTTTTTTAGTATGAAATATTTTGTTTTTTTTTTATTATTATTTATTCATTCTTTTCGTACGTTTTTATTAATTGTGATTCTTTAGCGATATTTTATAGAGATATTTTATATAATTAATAGGAATTTAAGTTGCATTCAAATAATTAGATAATTCATTCGCTTTTTGCATTTGCGTTTTGTTTTTTTTTTTAGATGATGCGCAGCATATAATCGGCGTATAATTATGCATATAGTCAATTATTTCATTTATTGTGGTATTAGAGGGGATTGATATATATGTAGATAGATATACATATATCTTGAGGCTCTTTTAAATCAACATTTCCCAAAAATAGGGCCTTGTAACAGGAAACTAATCTTTCAATCTTCATCTCGAATATTAAATTAACTTTCAATTTCTTCTAGGGGTTTTTACTTTACTTTTTGGAAATTCTTCTTTTGCTTTTTAATTGTTTATGAGAACCAATTTTGTACATTTTTTGTGTGTGGATGTTTTCGAGGGATAAGAGAGAGAGAAGAATATAGAATATAGAACATATAACAAAGGATCTACACGATAGATCTATATAGAGAGGGGCTGAATTATAGATAATTGTTAATTATATAGATACAATATTGAAATATTGATTTGCAATAAAGGTATACGATAGACTTATTGAATATATAATTGAATATATATTTGGATTTCGATTTCTAGAATTGAATCATTGAATCATTTGTGTGTGTCAGTGAGTGTTTGTGTGTGTGTGTGAGTGAGTTTTTGGGTGTTTGTGTGTGTGTGTGAGTGTGTATTCGACCTAAATCAGAGTCACTTATAACACTAAGAAGCAGTCATTTATTCTCCATTTAAATTTACGTTGTGTCGTCACGTTTTTCTTGAATCCTGAAACAGATTTCAATTACTGTACAATGTTTTGGGCGCTTAAACCATAGGCCATGGGTTCTCTATATGATAGTATATGTACATACATACTGTACGTATATATGTATCTACGGCTACGTTTATGTATATCTAAATGTATGTATATGTGTGCCTCGTATATAAATATATATATCGTACTATATATTACAATGCTTGATCAAAAAAAGGTTCGGCTAAGTATATATCTATTTCGAAATGTCCTGGGGGTCCTGTCAGTTATATGTTTAAAGAGTATTTCTTGTATATATAGTAATTCATTCAGTCTCACAAATAGGAAAGTATTATGTATCGTCGCTCATTACTTTAAGAACTTGTTTCTGCAAAACAAAAAGATAAAAAGAAAGAAATAAACCAAAAAAATAGTCGCTTTTTGTTGAAAAACTTGTTTCTGTAAAAAAATGTGAAACTTTCAAGCTGAATATTGCACAAAATGGATTAAATGATTGCACAACCAACAACAAGAATGTTTGATAAAAAAAAACCAAAGTAGAAATAAAAAATCAATTTTGTTTGTTTTTGTTTTTGTTTTTTGTATAATTTTGATTATCTTCTTTTATATTTTCCATGTATGTAGGCTCTTCTCATATTTTCCGTGTTCTTTCAGTTTTCTTTAGAAATATATGTATGTATGCGTATATGTATATGCTTAGAAATCTTATAGATAGACTTATTGGATAGTCTTATAACTATAGCTAGAACATCCTCATTTTCCTCATCTAACGGTCCCACTGTCGGAACGCTCTTCTTCCTTCTGTATCAAATACAAAAAAAAATACAAAAAACTTTTGCATAGTCTTAGTCTCAAATCCGCGGATGAATCCGCAAACATCTCCCCATAGCCCCATAGCCCCATAATCCCCATAAGCCCCATAAACCCCCAAAACGTACCACGTCCACACATCCGTAGCACTTTACACTAGAAATACTTATTGCCTACGAATTGGTGTCTTTCCTTACAAATCGAAGCTTGGGTTCAGCTCGTTTATGTACAGTTCCTTAGCCACTACGTTAAGATATAGTTAGCCTAGGTATTTATACTTAATGCTAGTCAGCCTCATTAATATTATAAGCTTAGATTAGCTACAGATTTTATTCAGACAAAAAAAAAGACTAATTGAGAGTGTAATACGAGCGAATATTTGGAATTTGTCTTTCACTTTCCGTTTTTTAGGGGGGATTTTGGAAGAAAGTGGAGAGTGTGTTCAAGGCGCAAAGTAGTGGGAAGGGGAAATATCTCTAGATTTTTGTTGTACGCTAATAATGTGTATATATAGTGTATGGTATATATATAGTATATGTTTAATGTGGTCTACAATATAATTCATGTGTGTTTCAAAATACAAATACAATACAGTAAATGTAAATGTAAGTGTGGACAAATGGAAACAGTCAAAAGCACCGATTTTTCAGCTAAGTTTTCATATTTTTTGTTTGTTTTTTTTGTTTGTTTTGTTTTTTAGTTTTTTGTTTTGTTTAATCATAATAATGATAATGATAATGGATAATGGATAATGGTTAAATCCCCTAGTGGTCTAAGTAATTATGGGCTTTACTTATTTAGCAGATCTCCGAAATAGGGTTTCACTCCTTCTATATACAGTTTTTGTTGCTTTTCTTTCTGTTGCTGTTTGTATATTTAATAAAATACATATAAATATATAGGTATATATATTTATATATTTAATAATGATATATTCATATATAAAATACGTATATATATTTAAGCTTTTTCAGATCTGTTCTGAATGGTTTTCTATCGCGGGTTTTTCTCAGTGCTAACGAAATTCAAATAAGGCAACTTGAATCTATGTGTATTTTATGTGTATGTATGTATATGTTATGTATGTATGGTTATGCTTCTATATCTATGTATCTGGTATCTGGTATCTATGTACGTTTAATGATCCATATAGTATATATGTATATCTATATAGTTTATAAGGTGCGCGCCTCAACAAACAATCAAAACAGAGAGATAAACAAAAGTGTATCCAATGGAAAATCAAATGAAAATTAAAATTCTGTAAATGCATTTCTCATTTAAAGTATTTTCTTTTTCTTTGCTTTGGGACCGATCTTTCTTTAGTTCCATTTATTCTCTCGATTAACAATCCAATTGAATGTATGTATATATATTGTGTTTGTGTGTGTGTGTGTTCTTTTTATGTATATAAAATATTTATCAAAAATAATATGCCTTTAGTTCTCTGAGAGGAGAAGAATTCATGGGGAAGGACGAGACTACACGATGTTTTTTCTTTTTTCTTTTTATGCCAATTGGTGAGATCTGGTTTTCATAGCGCGAAATGAGTTTTCAATTTCCAATTTTCAGGGCGGGAAAGGTGGGAGGGGCAAAGGGAGGATCATCTATATATAGTATATACAACTTATATAATAATACCATTACGTTTACATTGTGCTGCTCTGTCGCTTTATGTTCTCATGTTCTTCTGTTCTGTTCTGTTCTGTTCTGTTTTTTCTGTTTTTGTTTTTTTTTTTGTTTCTGTTAGATGTGGGGACTTAACTTAACTCTATTTGATTCTACATAGAAACCAAATAAATAGCTTCTAAAAAAAAACAAAAAAAAAATTTGATTTTATTGCACTTGGATTCCATCACTTCTCCTCTGCTCCCTTGGGGGGTGGGGACTCTCCCCCCTACGTGCACTCAATGATCATGGGCTGATTGGAGGACTCTATGACCGAGGGGCGGTTCTCCTGGGCCTGCACATGGGGCGCATGCATGTAGACTCCTCCGTTGTCCGGCAGCGGCTTCAGTCCCTTCAGGCTGCCTGCCTGAGGCGAGTGCTGCTGCTGCTGCTGATGCGGATGTGGATGCGAGTGCGGATGCGGATGCTGATGCAGGTGTGGGGGCGTCGGACGTTGGTTGGGGGAGGGCTGCTGCTGCCCCTGCTGCGCCTGCTGTTGCTGCAGATGATGGGGTGGCGGTGGTGGCAGCTGGCTGGCCGTGGTCAATAGCATTGGGGCAGGCCCCAGCATCATGTGCGGCGGTGGTGGCTGCTGCTGATGCTGTCCGGGTCCCTGCATGTGATTCCCCAAAGGAATAAGACGCGGTGGGGAGTGCCTCAGACTGGGATGGACCATATGCTGCTGCAGCTGCTCGTACGCCTCACGGCTGTCCGGCTCGGGATGATCCTTGTCTGCAGATGATGAAAAAAACTATAGTTAGAGACGGTTCAAAGGGGACTCTCTTATGCAGAACGTACCCAAACACTCTGATGTGGCCGCCGCTGCCATGGCCAGCTCTTCCTCCAGATTGTTTGGCTTGCAGCTGGTGGTCTTCCAGTGGGTGCGCAGCCCCGAGGCACTGATGTACTTCTTGTCACAGCCCTGGCACACGTACGGCCGATCGTTGGTGTGCAGCCGCTTGTGCAGCTTCAGATGCACGAATTGCGTGAACTTCTGCGGACAGAGATCGCAGGCGTAGGGCTTCTGGCCGCTGTGGAGCCGGAGATGGGTCTTCAGGTTGGAGGTGCTCGAGAAGCGCTTCTTGCAGATGTCGCACTGGTGCGGCTTCTCGCCCGTGTGCACCAGATGGTGCTTCTGCAGGTGCGCCAGCTGCGTGAAGCTCTTCGTGCAGACGTTGCACTTGAACGGCCGCTCCCCCGAGTGGGTGCGCAGGTGCACCTTCAGGTTGCTCAGCTGGCCGAAGGTCTTGCAGCACACGTTGCACTCGTAGTGCATCTTGCCGTCCTTCTTCTTCAGGGGATACGGCAGCGAGCGGTAGCCGCGCGAGGCCAGGGAATTGGGACTCAGGGGGGAGCCGCTCCGGGGACAGGAGTTGCCGTCGGGACTGAGGCTGCTGGGCGGGGAGATGCGCAGCGGGGAGAGGCGCTGCAGCGGTGTCAGTGGCTGCATCAGCGGGTGGTTCAGCATCTGGGTGCTGCTCTGCAGGAGATGCAGATTCGAGGCGGATCCTCCGCCGCTCGAGGCATTCGACTGGCGGTCGAAGGGCGAATGGGAGCTGTGTGGCGGCGAGTGGAAGGTGGAGGTGGCCGCACTCCCGTAATGGTGCGGGTACCCCGGATAGCTGGGACTCGGCGAGTGGCCTCCGTGACCTCCGCCCTCGCCCTGACCCATGTAGGAGACGTGTCGCGAGGGCGAGAAGATCACGTTGTGGTGATGGTGCGACGGCGGCGGCGGCGAGCACTCCCCCTTGATGAGGGCACCCCGCGTCACTAGCTCCTGCTCTGCCACACCCACTCCAGCGGCTGACAGCTGCTCCTGTGGCTGCCCCAGGTTGGAGCTGGAGTCCGGACTCACTGCGTTTCCGTATCGCTGCGACTTCTTGTAGCTGTACGCCATCTCAGTGGGCGACGTGGGGGGCGGTGTGGCAGCGTTCGCCTGGCGGCAGGCATTGGCCGCTGCGGCAGCCGCCTCCAGGCGGTGCTGGCTCGTCAAGATCGTCTCGAGGATGCTGGAGGAGGGCTGTCCAAAGCGCACATACCGCTCGCCCGGGGGATCTGCCTCGTAGTAGGGCTTGCTCAGGGGCACAATGGTGCGGGTCTGTCCGTCAGAGTTGTGCTCGAGGACAATGACCGTGGAGGAGGCGGGCTGCTGATTCGATTGCTCTCTATCCCGTTCCCGTTCCCGTTCCCGTTCCCTCTCCCTCTCGCGCTCCCTCTCCAAATGCAACAAATGCTCATCCCCCAGATGGGTGGTGGTGCTCGGGGGACAGGCCGAGTCCTCCGAGTGGGCCACGTTGGCGTGCAGGTGGGCGTGCAGCTCCTCCTCCTCGTCCACGCCATGGGGCAGGGCATGCGACATCTGCTCGTCCACATCCTTGTGGATGGGCTCCTGTTTGACGCAGCTCTTGTTCTTGAACTCGTACTTCAGCGGCATCTTCACCTTGAACTTCCTGTACTCGTTCTTGTCCGTCTCGCAGGACATGGGCGTGGCAGCCATGCCAGCCATGGCCTGGGGACTGTGGATGATGCTCGCGGTGACGCCCACAGTAGGCGGGGAGGTGCTCTGTGGCTTCTGGGCCTGGGCAATCACCGTCTCCTTGGGGGCAATGGCCTTCTTGGAGCAGTCGAGGACGTAGTTGTGCTCACTCTCGCTGTCGCTGGAGTCCTCTGGTGGCGTGAGGCCATCCTCGTGGCACTCGTTGCTGTGGTAGCCCTCATCCGAACGCACCGATCGCACGCTGCCATCCTGAGGCGTCAGCTGGTGGTCCAGGCCAGACAGAGGCGAGCCGGCGGTGTCCTTGTCGCTGCTGCTGGCCAGCGGTGAACGGTCCTGGCCAATGATCACGGAGGCATGTCGTCCGTGTTGAATGATGTGCGGATGGTGGGCGCCGCCACAGGATGTGGTGGACACGTGGGCGGGGGGACTGGCGCGACGACAGCAGGCACCGGAGCCGGAACCAGTTGGCGGTGGGGCAGGCGGCAGGGCTTCCTGCGCGGAGGTGGCTCCCTGGGGTCCTGGCGCCGCCGGCAGATGGAGACCCATCACATAGGTGATGTGGCTGACGGCCACCTCGGCGGGTATTTCGGGTGCGGGCATGGAGTAGTGCGGTTTCTTGTGCGGCGGCATCTCATCGTGGTCCTGGTCCTGGTCCTGGTCCTCGAGTTCCTCCTCCACATCCTCCTCGAGATCCTCCTCGACGCTGGCCTGCTTGCAGGCCCCAAAAATGGTCCTCTCCGGGTCCACATCGTAGCCGAGGCGACTGGCGAAGTCCTTGCAGTACCAGACCATCAGCTCCTCGTTCGGCAGGATGTCGCGGGTGGTGTAGAAGTAGATGTTCTCCTGATGCTGGCACGCGACCAGATTCATCACGGACAAACTGTACGCAGAGGCCACATAGCGCATCCAATTGGACTGCGAACGATCCGACCCATCCAGATAGTAGTAGTCGTCGTCCTTGAAGATCTACAGAAGCATACAAAATAGACACAGGAGAGAAGGCGGGTTAGAAAAGGATTTAGCAGGATCTAAACATGAAAGAAATGACAAGACACAAGAGAGACACACAGAACACACAGAGAACAAAACAAACTACAAAAGGAGACACAGAACAAGGAATACAGAGTGAAAGAGTGATAGAGTGATAGAGAGAGTGAGTGAGAGAGAGAGAGAGAGTGCAGGCAGGATAGTAGATAGTTCTCGTGTTAGATAGAAAGAGAAAGTGCTCGGGAAAGGGGGCTGTTAGGGGGCAAGAAAGTAAGAAAAGAAAAGCATAAATCATGATTGGTGGTACCTTAATAATCCCATAGGTTATGTGGCGTGTTCCCTGCACCTGATTTTTTCGAACCACGAACCAAATTTTGTTCCAAAAATGCCAACAAAATTAATTTTGATTTAATTTTTAGTTTTCGGTTTTTGTGTGTGTTTTTTTTTTTGTGGGATGGTAATTTTTTCATATGAAATAAAAGTAAATTAAAGAGAAACGAAATGTTTTGGTTAGTCGCATATTTGATTCAATGGATTGGATGGAAATTTCGTTTGGTGATCGAGGGGTGTGTGGGTGGTGTGGAGTGGGTGGGTGGGTAAAGCATATGTTTATGATGATAGTCTTAAGGGGAAACCCATCGCAGAAAATGCAACTCAAGATCCAAAACCAAAGATCCAGTGTTTCCCAAGGATTGTGTAATGCTTACCCTCCAAAAATATCGCGCCTTATTCTTATCATTGGGATAGTTTGAGGTTGGAATGCCTTCGAAGGGGCCAAAGCGTGTGCCGCGTGGTATGACCCCACTGCTCCAAACTCCTTCAGTCTGCAAAAAGGAAACAGATCCCGAAACGGGAGGTTAGTTTTCACACTCTTCCGGGGGATTCCCTCTTTGCCGGATCCTACCTTAACATTTGGCGTTGAGTAGACCATCGATGACTTGAGTGTCAGACTCCGCGGCAGCGTCTTGTCCGCCCGATTGGGCAGTCCTCGCTCCGCCTGCACATCCGGCACTAGGTAGACGGCCAGACGCTCAAAGTCCTCCTCCCGCATACGCGTCACATCGTAGTCCTGGCTGCCATCGGGCGTTGGACTGCGACTACGACTGCGACTGCGCGCAGTCCTTCGCGACGACAGTTTGTGGTGCGGATGGGGATGTGGGTGTGGATGTGGATGAGGATGGACATGAGGATGATGATGTGACGCTGCCTTCATATTGTTGACAGCTCCTGCTCCTGTCTGTGGTTGGTGCTGCTGCTGCTGCTGCTGTCCCTGCTGCTGCTGTTGCTGCTGCTGCTGTTGCTGCTGTTGCTGCTGCTGCTGCTGATGATTGTGATGATGTCCATGCATTTTGACTACAGCTAAAATTGTTGCTCTCCTTTTTGTAAGGATTTATAGTAGATGGTCTAGTGGTTGTGTGTCTGTGTGTGTGTGTGGTGTGGCTGCTTATCCTGATAGTTTTACTTGATCTGCAAAGAAGAGAAGAGCAAAGGAAAAGCCATTTAGTTGGACTCGCAGTGGAATGATGTTTTATTTCCCGCCTATAAATAAATACTGCAACCTTTTGAGAGGCACCGGCACCCCCCTGAAAGCTCTCTCCACTCAAAAGTCTCTCACTCGATTTTGCAGTGTTGCATTCTGGCTGTGTTATCGGTAGAAAATGAAAAGCTAAAGCGTTCGTCGAGTGCCGAGTGGCAGGGAAATGGGTATGCTACGGGTGTGGAAGCGGGGTGTTTGCACAGTTCAAGATTACGGCCTTAATGGAGGTTACACGTTCACGTTCAGGGGCAGTTCTTACCCCTCCACCTGCTGCTGCCCTTCTTTGTGGCTTAGCAAATTCTTTCTTTACTTTCAACGAAAATTATTTTGAAAATTCCGTGGAACGACACTCACTTCAAGTGATTTTCCTCATTTGGCTGCCATTGCTGTTGCTTTTGTTTTGTACTCTCGTTTCTTGAATATTCTTTTTATTACTTTTCAGGCATTTTATTTTATTTTATTTTATTTATTTTTGTTTAATTATTATTAATCTGCTAATTGGAAAGGGGTTGGTGTTTTTGGTTTATTGCTGCATTCTCTCACATTAATCCAGTTTTAATTCTTGATTTTTGTGTTGGACCCGCAAATTACGCGTCACTTTCGGTTTTTTTCCCCGTCTGTCTCTCTCTCGTTACGCATACGCCGTGTGGACGCCGCCGTTGCCGCAGCTGCTGCTGCTGCCGCGTGGGCCCGCTCCGTTGGGGGGGGGGGGGGGGGGGGGGGGGGTATATTCTATGGCTATTCTCCTGCGTTCTCCAAGCATTTCTCATTGGCAACGCGGCATTCTAAATCCTATTTTGTTTTTTTGCCAACAAAATAAATGCAAACGCTCACGGAAAATGCGGCAACAATACGGAAATGAATGGTAAACGAACAACCAACAGCCAGAAGAACGGAAAGTACAAAAAAAAAAATTACAGGCAAATATGTAGTTTTGATTTTTTCTTCTTCTATTTTTCCTGTTTTTTTTTCTTTTTTTTTTTTTTTGCTAAGAAGAGAACGATGAGAAACGTTGACGCCGCCGACCGAGAGTTGTTCCTACTACTGACCCACATACAACCGGCATAGACCCCAAAAAAGCTCACATTAGCGGGCAGGCAGAAAGTGCACACACACAGGGATACATGCACTCACACTGTGACAACCGCCGCGCCGGCATATTGCACTCACTCGAACTGCAGTGCACGACGAGCCGAACGCATCTCAAAGATTCTCTCGCTCGGAAAGTTGTTGTTTTTTTCTTCTTTCGCCGAGGAAAAGCTTTTTCGCTCTGCGCTGCTCTGCTCCCTGGGCTGCCTAACGCGGGTAGGTAGTGGTTGCTCGTCGGGTGGCTCGACATTTGGTGGTTGGGTGGTTGCTGCTGCGTCGATAATTCAAAAATGTTATGTCTCTTTTATTTCTGTCTATAAATTTTCAGCTGCGCAATCAGGAACTTATTGTGCAAGGCTATTGCCCTGCCCACCGCCCACTGCCGACTGCCCACTAGCCATTGGCCCTGACTCTGCCTCCCCTAGGAGTTATTTCTGGCTAAAATATGTTGCAAGATATCTCTGACCTGAAGATGAGATAGTCGGTAAGGCATGATTCAATTTCAGTTGTTTACAGCAATTGATAAATGGATAGATTTTTTTTAACTAAATTCTGACTTGATTTCAACCTAATTGAATAGAAAAAATCCAGGAAGTAGGATCTCCCAATTATATAATGCACAAAAGATATGGACAGATCTTTGGAAACTCAAATAAAGAAGCCTGCTTTAAGAAACCAGGAAGTTTAAAATCACAACAATGAAACCTTGAAATTTCCCTTGAATGAATCATAGAATCAACAAACTGAAGGGAGAACTATTGAAAGTGGGCGATTTTCCCACCTATAGATCCTTGAGTGCACTAAAGCCACGTCTATTTACCAGGAAATTCCAGGGAATCTAATCAGAGAACTCTCTTATCGCTCTAGCTTCCACTAAGTAGCGGTGCAATCACATAACCAGGAAGTCCCATGTGATGGTCGCCTCTGTACGAGTACACGAGTATACGAGTATGTGGCGTGGAGGGTACAGTAGTGCAGTACTTGTAATTGTTGCAAAACTCACCCAGAAATATTCCCGTAAATATATATTCCCGTATATATGGTTCAACTCCCCCGTTAAGATCGTTAGGGAGCCCCGTATCTGTATCCCGTCCGCTCGTAGAACTGTACGCACGTAGAATGCGGTGCAACATAGCCGAGCCCCAGGCGATTGGCCAACGCTGCTCAACGATGGGCGACACGGATGCAAAAAAATTTTGCCACAGAACTACGGGAGGAATCTCATGGGTGCATCTGTCGTTGCATCTGTATCTGTGTGTCTGTGTGTCTGTGCTGTTTTATTGTTTATAGATGCACTTGCACTTGCGAATAGCTGGCGAGTGCGGAAATGTGCGAAAACGATATTCGGAAAGTGTTTTTCTGTGGCACCTTTTGTGTGTGGGTATGGTTTTGTTGCCAGTTGCCCGTTGCCAGTTGGCGCCGTCAAAGCGAATGAAATATGCAGACAAGATGAGGAAGACTCGTCGAACGATGGTCTCGAGATACTTTCGATTTTAGACCAGAGATCTCACTGGCAAAGGGTTTTGCACTGGGCACTGGGCGGGCAGTATAAAGGGGTGGAAGGGTGGAGCAGATGCAGATACAGATGCGTTTTGCCCCACTAGGAAGTCGACAAAAATCAACAAAATTCTCACTAGAATCAACAATTTCAGGGTGTCTCAGTGTGTGTGTGTGTATGTGTTTGTGTGTAGATAGCGCGCCAAAAAGCTTTTCGCTATCGCTGTGAAAATGAAAATAAACAGCTGCACATACACACAGATACACAGATATTAAGATACAGATACAGAGACACTGATACATACGAGTGTGGCGCTGCATTAGAAACAAAAAGTAAAAATCGCAGTGCGCTTTGCGTTTCTAATCATCGCACAATTGCATTTGAAGGACACACTCGGCCAGAGATACGTTACGAGAAGATAGAGAGAGACAGCCAGCGACAGGTTGTAACGAGCCGAAAGAGAGGGCACTAGTCGCGTCAAATTAAAAATAAATAACATAAAAATGTAAGCGAGCGAGAAAGAGGAAGAGCCAGAGGGAGAGGCAGAGACAGAGACAGGGGCAGAGGGAGAGAGAGAGCATTTGTCAACATTCAACTTGAACGCCGACGACCCATGCACCGCCCGAGCGCCTCGTCTCCTCTGTTCCGCTCCCAAGTGCATTTTTGATAAGCGATTCTCCACATTGCGCATACGCCCTGAATGACCGTCCGTTCGTCGGTGTGCGCGCCTCTTCCCTCTCTGCCAGTGCCATTGCCACTGCCACTGCCACTGCCTCTGCCTCTGCCTGATGCTACTGCTAATAATTCTAGCAGTTGGAAAAAACTTCCGCCCTGTCGCTTCTATGCTCCGTCTAATGCATCGAATGCATGCACGATCTTTATCAAATTGCAATGCGGGAAGCGTTGCAAAAGCGAACAGAACCGAACCCCAAATGAGGTCTGATTGGAATCGCATTCAAGGACAAACCGAACACTGCACTGCAACCGCATATGTATATACTCGTATGCATATAGTATGCACGAGTATATATGGCACATACATACATATATGTACATAGATGCATATATAACTGATAACTGCCGTCATAAATTAAATGTGTGCTCGTATGACCATCTCTTTCTGGCCAACTAGGAAATAAACATACGGACGGCTGCTAAGTAGTTTCAATGCATAAACAAATTTAACGATGTTTTTTCTTCAAGTGTAATGTAAATATTTATCATGGACCTGCTCGGACGTGGTTTCTACTCATAAATACTATTCCAAAGTGGGGGGTTTCTAATCCAAAATGGGTTTCTAAGGGGTGTTCTAGTTGGTTTCTTCTCATAAATAGTGCTTCTAGGGGCTGTTATATTTATATATAGTGTTCCTCTATATGATATCAAAAGAGGAAACTAAATAGATGTTAAAAGCATTCATGGATTATATTGCATTCATTAATGGATTATAATCGTAAATGGGGTTTCTAGGAATCAAATCTTTCGCTGGCTATCAAAGACGGAACCCAATATTGTATCATTAGCCTTGATTTCAAGGGGCTTTTCTTAAAGGAATTTGTTTCCTGGTTGAACCTAAATATTGTCTTCTATATGGTTTATTTTTGTTGTTTTCGAAGGCATTCTTTTCCTAAATATAGTTAAGGTGGAACCTAATCATTCCTGATAGATTGGCAATGCCCTGCTATATGAAATGTTATGAAACCCCCCACCATTCGCTACACTTTCCTAACTGTCATTCCGAGATTCGTTTCACTTACATTCGGAGTACAAGTACATCTCTCTGTAAGATGACTTTTCAGACATTCATTCACTCAATCAATCACTCTCGGTTATAGAGAAAGAGACAGGGACAGACACAGCCGCAGAGACATAGAGTGGGAGAGCGAGAGAAACAGAGAGAGAGAGAGAGAAAAGAACCCGGAAATGTAAAGTGTAAACGTAGAACAAGTCAAATACGAGGGGGAGGTGCAGCACAGGCAGCGGAGGGGAAGGTGCTAAAGGGGGGAAAGGGGAGGAATTCGCATTTAGTTTTATGTGCATGCAAAACGAAACGAAAAGCGAAAAACGAAACGAAAATTGCCAACGCAGTGGTGGAGGAGGAGGAGGGCAGGGCGAAGACGGGAGGGGCAGCTGATAAAATAAAATTGTGTGCTATTTTGTTTGTGTGTATCTGTCCCTCTCTTGCTCGCTCGGTTGCAGTTCGTCTACTTCTGCCCCCCTCCCCCCCCCACGCCCTCTCTCTGTCGCTCTGTCTGCTGTAATAATAATTTGTGCGAGCTTTTTTTTTTGCTGAAAGGGAATGGAAGGAAACGCGAACAGAACGCAGGAGGGTGGCGGTATGGCAGTAAGAGCATCATCGGCATCGTCATTATCATGTTGATGATCATCATTATGATCATCATAACCTTGAGTCACAAGACGAGAATGTGCATGCGAATTGAATGCAAAAAACTAACAAAAACACTCACTGTGTTACGCCGCACTCATCCGCATAGCAAACGTAACGTGTGAGGAGAGGGGGGAATGGGGAATGGGAAGAGGCACCGACACAGTGGGTGTATTCCACTGATTATCTAATCATACAAAATGTGCATTGAAATTAATATCCACATTTCAAGGACAATGGACAAAAGGTATGCCACATGCAGCAAGGCAGGCAGGCAGGCAGGCAGTCGGGGGCAGACATGTTTTTATGCTCAAAATCAAAACCGAGACAAATGTATCTATAACCATTACAAACAACCCCATCACCCTTCACCCGTCACCCGTCAACCGTCCACCCACAACGCTCAACACCACCCACAGTGCCAGGCAGTCAACCCTTCTTCTGTAAAAGCTGTAAAAGTATTGTGTTGCGGTTTCGTTGCACTTTAACCTTGAAAATCTTTGTTACTTCAATTTGCGCATGTGCACGCCGAGTGCACTCTCCCATACAGAGGGGTGTAGAGAAAGAGAGAGAGTGATAGTGATAGAGATGGAATGAGAGAGAAAGGGGGGCTGACAGAATGCAGGAGAGAGTGTGTAGAAAAGTACAGGAGGAGTAGAAGTCTAGGGTCTACTGTCTAGGGTATGGGATGCCTTTCAATACTATCGATGCCTCACAGTACATACATATGTACTTCTACGGTGCAGTACAGTCAGTACACAAATTTCAGCGCAATTAAAAATCAACCAAAAAAGCAACAATAAAAGCGAAAGTATATTTAACTTTTGACAGCAAGAAAACCGCAATCAAAAATAATTAAAATAAATCTTAAAATATGCATTAATTTTTTGTTTTTTTACTTGGAATTGAAAATAAAAGTAAAATTTCGTTGATTTTTGTGTGGTATATTTTTTGCGGTTCTGTATCTGCTTTTGATGTATGCCCTTTCCGAGGGTATCACTGTTTTTAGTAGAAGTTTTCACAACAAATAATATAATATATTATATAGAATACTTGGTATGGCTTTTTTGTTGGGTTAACAAGGGAATTTTCGATCTACAATTTATTTGTATGTGCTTCTTTTTTGTAAGTGCCAATACATCAATGAGAATTTGTTGTTTTTTTTTTTTGACGTTACGTTAAAATATATATATTTTATAGTTCCGCTATATCTGTTTTTTGTTGAAGCTTTCGTTTTGCCCTTGATTTAATCGTGGCACTGGGTAATGCGCTTTGACGTAGGTCTAAGTAATCATAAACCATAAATTAAGTGCCTATTCCTGGTGCCTAGACCTTGGAATACCCCTCTGCTGCTAACACCCTCTCTCTCTCTCTCTCTCTCTCTCTCCCCGTCTCTGCATTCTTATCAATGCACTTTTATTTCGCATTTACTTTAAACTTTGCTTCGTTATCAGTTCTGCTGTCTTATTGCGCAGTGAAAGTTTTCCATTTGCATTCTTTGTTTATTTTACGTTTGTTCTTGTTTTTTTTGCTGCTATAATTAGTGTGTTTTTTTTTTAATGGTTTTAGTTTGTTTTTTCTGTTTTTGTTTGGTTGATTGTAAAATTTGTTTGTTTGCTTTGCTGTTTAATTGAAAATGATTAAAAATTGATATAGATGTATAATCGCGCATGGAACCTGAAGGGTGGGGATTGTATAATAAAAAGATTGCCTGCTTTGGGGGTACCTCTATATCGATATCTGTATCTGTATCGATAGTCTACAATCTAATCTACTATTTGTACTCCT